CTGAGCGCTAAAAGACTCTCCAGCCCTTTGCTGCAACATGTGTGTTCCAAGGTAACTGTTAAAACCTTGATTAAGATTTATAGACTACCGTTCCAAATAGAAAACCTGATATGAAAAGGTAAGCTCACAAGAACTCACTGGGGTTTAAGCTCAAGTTTTTCATTAAAGATTGTTTCTGAAAAGTCAGACTTTGTGTTTTATTTTCTAATCACAAGCATATAACATAAAACAACGTAATATATGTAAATGTAATCCCTGCCTGTTTACTCCAGTGAGTCATAGAAAGAGAGTAGCATCATTTTCTGTGTGTGCAATGATGTCAAAAATGTGGGAAGCTGTGCTTTAATATACGCACTGTATGTACCCAGAGGGCACTATAGCACGCAGCGTCTCCCAGCATCAGTCAGTCATAGAACTTCTCTTACGTGTAAGTGGTTAATGTCTCAGGGACACTGGTGTTTCATGGGACACAGCACGGAGAAACTCAATCACACAGGTGAGGGCCGCGGAGGGGACGTGAATTGTCCAAGGTCATGGGACCTCACATACCTCGCTTTCGAATCATTTGCTCTTTTATCTGACTTACCCCGGGGGGCGATCGCAGTAGGATTTGGATGAGCTCATAAAGAATTGTCCACTGCCCGGCCAGTGTGGCTCAGTGGTTGAGCATTGACCCTGCACCAAGAGGTCGCCAGTTCGATTCCCGGTCAGGGCACATGCCCAGGTTGTGGGCCTGATCCCCAGTGGGGGGCGTGCAGGAGGCGGCCAATCAATGTTCTCTCTCATCGATGTTTCTATCTCTCTCCCCCTCTCCCTTTCCCTTATCTGACTGATGAACTGTCATCATTCAGCCTCAGAGGAACCAGGGTGGCGTTTGTCCTGTGGTTTCCTGTCGTTGGGTTTGGCACATGTCCTCAGTTTCTGGTATTAATTCCTAGGACTGGTTTATCTTGTCTTGGCTCCCTCTTTGGGGTCTGTCCCTAGGTGCCCTGATCTCTGCCCCAGAGCCTGTGGAATGTCCGAGGAGACAACTTCGGTCTCCGCCTGTGGCTCCCTGTTCCTCTGACTCCACCAGGCGGCTCAGGTTTCGGTCCCTGGAGGCCTGGCTGGGAGCCAGGTCTGCGTGATGGCCACTGTGCTGTGCTGGGGGGTGGCATAGTCTTGGTGACAACACAGGCTCTCTCCTGGAAGCCTGGCTCTGCCCTCCCTGCGTGTTCTTGCTCCAGTCACTGAAACGGTCTCGGTTTCCTTACCTGGTGAGTGGGCTTTGATCCTTCCTACTTCAGAGGGTTGGGAGAGTTTTAGAAATGAACACACGTCACGTGCTCAGAGCAGGTGTGGAGGCCTCTCGGGAACATCACTGCTTCACAGACACCCTCCGCTTCGAGCGCGGGCCCCGGCAGGCTCTCTCGTGCCTTACTCAGAGGTCCCCTGTCCTGCCTGTCACCTTCCACGCAGACCCCAGGGATGGGCATAGGGCAGGCCCCAACTGGGACCCTCTACCTCACGGCACTTACAAATGGATCTCCTTAACTTGCTTTGTAGCAGGACCCTCCAGGTCGCTGGGTCTCTAACCACCCTTGGCACCTGTGACCCAGTTAGTGCCAAGGGAGCCCCCCCGCCCAGCACTGCTGAGCTCCCAGACAGACAGGAAGGCAGCCCAAGTCCCCGGTGAGCTGTGTTTATTAATCTGTCTCCAGGCTGCACACAGAAATGTCACATCTCCCTTGGCAATCCCGTCTCCTTTCCCCTCATTGCCCGGGCAGTGCCCTGCATGTCCTGGGAGCGGAGCCAGGAGCAAGCCCCTCTGCCCACACGCCTCCTCCCTCTGGCTGGGATCATCGAGAACCTGCAGGAACCTGTGGGGCCCGTGGTCCCCTCCCTCACACAGGCCTCTGTGGACTGTCCCCAACTCCCGTCCTCTTGCCGAAGTTCAGCTCTGTTCCTGGCTTACTCGGGCCCAGTCACTGTGCTCCTCTGGGCCCCGCCGGTTACTCGGGACGTGAGAGCTAGGTAAGGTGACTTCCTGGGCCTTCTCCTGCTCCGAGGGTCTACGGCCGGGGAACAAAGGGCAGAGGTGCAGGCCTCAGACACTGGCGACACCGGCGACACTGGCGCAGTCCCGGCCTCACCGGGCTCTCGCCACGAGGGCGATCGCCACCTCTCTGAGCCTCGGCTTCAGCACCTCTGAAGAACAGATGATGGTCCCACTTGATAATGACGCCCTGACCCCACCTCCTGCCTGTCTTTCAATTCAGCCTCTTCCAAGAATCCTCCCCTCAGCTCATGTACACGTGGCTGTCCCTGGTAATGAAGTCACTGTAACACTGAGTTTCTACCTTTCTGAGGGTACAAATGATCTGCACCATGCATCAAAAGCATTATTACGGACTGGGGCAATGTCACCCTTATGCTGAGACCCCAACACAGCGTCTTACACAGAGTAGGTCCCCAGTGAATGTCAGTTGACTTGACAGTAGAAAGGAAACAAAGGCTAATGTGCACCCTCATCTCTGAGGTCCGGGCATCATGGGCACCTTGGAGGAGGGGCTGTAGGGTCCCCAGAGTGGGGACAGCTCATGAGGAGGGTGTAGTAAGGGACTTTGCAGAGTTGAACTTGAGAAAGCAGAATTTATTTCTGAGGGTTGGTATAAATCTAAGTAGAATAAATCATTCAGGTCCCTGACCCTTCCCACTAGCCGCCACCACTACACCTTAAATAATTCTAGACAGTCCCTTAGTGGGACCTCAGCGGCACTCACCAGTGTCGTTCACGCGTCTCCGTGCTGCCCCTCTTTTGTGGGGAGAGCCTAGAAGGATTTAGGGGGGCAGGGCTAGACCCACCTTCCCACACTTAGAATCTGGCTCTGCAACAGGCGGGCATAGCCTTCACGCCTGACCTCACGTGCCCACCTGTTGTCCTGTCGCACGGGGGCGGAAAATGACGGTAAGAAAATGATATCTTTGTTACACCTCGGCCATCACTTCTGGGCTCCACTCAAATTATTTTAACCATCACAAGACCCTCTGCAACAAGAGTACACCTGTTCACTTTCCCTTTTCTGGGAGGAGGTCATAATGGATTCCTACAGGAAAGACCCGCTCTGGGAACTGGGGAAGAAGAGAGACTTTAGGGCTCCGTTGTCACCTCTGATCCTGCCTCTCACCGGAGCTGGACCAGGGATCTCCCGGGGCCGAGAAGACACCGGAGCCCAGGGTCCTCGGGCGGAATGACAGCGCAGTAATTATTCGTGCGCACTCCAGAGTAACTCCGCGTTTCTTGTGATGTCTGCAGGCAGGCTCAGAATGCAAATAATATGCTTGCTTTCATTAAATTATCTTTTTACGACTGTATAATTTCAGTAATTAAAACCTTGACTAATATAGTCTGTGAAGCAGGCACAATGCTACACTAATGTATGGCCCTTATTAATTTTGAAAAACAGGGTGAAATTGAAATAACCTGCCTCTGAACACTTCAGAGCTGTGGAAAGAAAGAAAAAAGAAGCTGCTCATTTTGATTAATGTACACTAATTAGCATTCCTCGTTTTTCATTCCGTCCTCCCGACCTGAAAAGTCACCACAGGGTTATTTGCATTGCCTATTGTATATTTCAAATCCTCTCTCTCTCTCTCTCTCTTTTTTTTTTTGGCATACCTTTGGGTTAGCCAAGAGGAATCAGCAGGGCTTTAGTCGTCACCATTAGAGACGAACACATCGAAGCATCACCTGTCACTCCCGAGGTGAGCTCCCCAGGGCAGATCAGCTGTCGTGTGTGTCTGTCTGTCTCAGAGAGTTCTGGGAGCTCATGCTTCCCCCCAGCAAGACGTCGCTGTCTCCCGAGCACTGCTGGCTGTTTGATTCTTTAACACGCTTGTGGGCACATGTGTGCACACGCAGGCACAGGAGGGCTCAGCCGGGCTCGGAGCTGCGATCTGAGTGCTGTTGCTGAAAGATGGGTCGACGCTGAGATTCGGAACATGAATGATTTTGATTAGACCCAAAGTGAGTCCCACGCCCTGCATTTGTCTTCCGCATAGCCAGAGAGGTCAGACGTCTCCGCTTCGTCGTAACAGCCTCAAAAAGCACATTGGGATGTACAGCGGCTGGATTCAATTTAAGCCTTAGCTCAAAAAATGGTACTTCTCTCTGTAATACACGTGCCAATGTCCTTTCTGAAAAGAATAATTTCCAATATGGAACTCAAATTCCACCCCAAGAAACTCCAAAAGGGATAGTCTTCTGTTTCTAACAAACACTTAAGTAGCAAGTAATTAGCTAGGGTTTGTACACAGGTAATTTTGGCATCCAGGTATCTTTATACGGGTGTGTGCTGTAATTCAGTAGCCATCATCCCTAATATCAGCCATTTTAAGCAATTTTTTTTTTGAACTTCTAATATGCGCCCAACTCCATTCTGAGCTCAGGATCCAGAACCATCAATGGCTCCCCATTGCCTCGGAAATCAAGTTTACTTTGCTCAGTCCTCCGTGAACTGGCTCCAAGCCCCGCTTTCCAGACATCGTCTTCACCCTTCTCTGGCATCCACCTTCCGATCTACCTGCTGCTCCTGATACACACACTGTGTTTAACCAGCTCTGCCTCTGCTGATGCTCTGCCCTCCGGCAGGAAGGCCCTGCTCGCTGGTCTCTGCACATCCACATCCTTTGCTCCCTAGGGCACGGCACAAATGCCATCTCCTCTTCCCTTATACAGGGGTCTATGTTTTCTGGGTGCTCCTATCTGCGTCCCACAGGTCCTTGCTGCATGGGGAAATCGGGGTGTTTTCTGCAGAGTGACTAAGGAAAGGGATGCATTACCACAGTGAACACCAGCACTTGTTTGTCCCAGCCTTGCCCTTCGGCCTCTCCCTGATGGGAGCTGTTGGAAACACCCACAGCATAACGCACACACAACTCAAACACAACGTTCAACGAGGGCTCTTCGGAAAGACGCAATTTCACGACGCCGGTGAAAGTGATGCTGGAGGGAGCCGCAGACGGTTTGGTGAGCCCGTTAGTGCCCCTGCCAAGACTCACGCAGCTGACATGTCCCGCTACTTGCGTCCCCCCAACACGTCTCTGTTCGTAAGGAACGTGGCCGACGATACCAGGTCTGAAGATTTACGACGTGAATTTGGTCGTTATGGTCCTATAGTCGAGGTGTATGTTCCACTTGATTTCTACACTCGCCGTCCAAGAGGATTTGCTTATGTTCAATTTGAAGATGTTCGTGATGCGGAAGATGCTTTACATAATTTGGACAGAAAATGGATTTGTGGTCGCCCAATTGAAATACAGTTTGCACAGGGGGATCGGAAAACTCCAAATCAGATGAAAGCCAAGGAGGGGAGAAATGTGTCCAGTTCTTCACGCTATGATGATTCTGACAGATACAGACGTTCTAGAAGCCGAAGTTATGAAAGGAGATCAAGAAGTCGCTCCTTTGATTACAACTATAGAAGATCTTATAGTCCTAGAAACAGTAGACCGACTGGAAGACCTCGGCGTAGCAGAAGCCATTCCGACAATGATAGATTCAAACACCGAAATCGATCTTTTTCAAGATCTAAATCCAATTCAAGATCACGGTCCAAGTCCCAGCCCAAGAAAGAAACGAAGGCTAAATCACATTCTAGGTCTGCATCTCACACCAAAACTAGAGGCACCTCTAAAACAGATTCCAAAACACATTATAAGTCTGGCTCAAGATATGAAAAGGAATCAAGGGAAAAAGAACCACCTAGATCCAAATCTCAGTCAGGATCACAGTCTAAGGTCTAGGTCAAAATCCAGATCAAGGTCTTGGACTAGTCCCAAGTCCAGTGGCCACTGATAGTATAAACCATGATATTTTTAGGCATGTATCATTCATTTACTCATAGTTTGGTTTACTTAAATGATCAGGAATACAATGTTGCAATGATGCTTACAAAAACACTTGTCAGTTTTCCCTGTACCAGGCAATGGTTATAATTAAAATGATATGCTGTTGAGAAGCCACTCTTTTAAGAGTCCAGTTTGTTTAATGTTATGGGCAGCTACCAATTTGTGGTGTCTCTGTATATTTTTGTAAAGATTCTCATTTTTTATGCTTGAAGTACTGGTGGAAAGATGTTAGTTGACCATAATTTGCAACATTGTCTTATTAAAAAATAAACTTTCATATCCATATTTGGTAGACCTGTTAACCTAGAAATGTAGCTTGCTAATAAGATAGAATGATACAAAAGTGAAGTTGTAGCCACAGTACACTGAGTGATCAGACACATTTAGGTTCAGGGTGGACTTTTTTGTCTTGTCAAGATGTCTAGGCCCATGATAATAGTTAATTTATGACACAGTGTGGAATAGTTCTTTTCTTAACCCCACTGTCTTAGGGAATGATGCCAACTGAGTTATGCAGCATTTCCAGGGAGACTGAGATTTTTATTGAAACACGGAGCCTTCGCTGCTTCCGCCCCGCCCCCCCCCCCCCCCCCCCCCCCCCCGGTTTCTGTGAAGATTTAGAACATACAAACAAATGTCAGAAAAAGTCACCTTAAAATTTGAGCAGGTCAATGATGACAGAAATAATTTTGAGGTAAAAAGAATGCTCTTATGTAGTTATTCTAAACTGTAAGGAACATTGTTGGCCATAATAGCTTAGTTTTTGCTGCTGTTAAAAGCAAGTAAATTGTTTCACAGTAAGTTTGTGTGTGTGCATAGTGTAAAAGAACTGAATTTTGATGCTTGTTAGCACTGTGTGTGCATTTGTATCAAAATTTGCCTGCTTCTTTATGAAGGAGGCTTGTTCTTCACACCTCAGTTTATTTAATGTGAGGCAAGTTGAAAGGCAACACCCCCATTCTAGGTGATTCTGTGGTGCCATGAAATTTAAAAGAATTTTAGAAAAAGAATTGACTTTAAGTACAAGTCACATCTTTGAGTCTTTGATTATCAATATAGTACCTGACTAAAAAATAAGAAAAAATTCCCTTAACCATTTATAATTTCTAGCATTTCTCTAAGAGATCGTTTTAGGGACAATAGAAGTTACTTGATGTGTCCAGTCTCATTTCAGAATAAAAGCTAGAATCTTTAAATTTTTAGATTGCTTGCTTGCAAGTTATAAGTAACAAATGTGGGAAAACAACTCCTTTTAGAGGATTACTTTTTTCAATTTTGCTTTTAGTAATCTAGGCCTTGCCTGTAAAGAACAAAAGGTGGTTTTTAAATACTGTTGGTGGAATGTGTTTAAAGGGTTGATTCTAGAACTTTTGTATATTTGATAGTATTTCTAACTCTCATTTCTTTACTGTTTTGCAGTTAATGTTCATGTTCTGCTATGCAATCATTTATATGCACGTTTCTTTAATTTTTTAGATTTTCCTGGATGTATAATTTAAACAACAAAAAGTCTATTTAAAACTGTAGCAGTAGTTTGCAGTTCTAGCAAAGAGGAAAGTTGTGGGGTTAAACTGTATTTTCTTTCTTATAGAAGCTTCTAAAAAGGTATTTTTATATGTTCTTTTTAACTAATATTGTGTACAACCTTTAAAACATTAATGTTTGGATCAAAATAAGACCCAGCTTATTTTCTGCTTGCTGTAAATTAAGCAAACATGCTATAATAAAAACAAAATGAAGAAAAAAAAAAAGAAAGTGATGCTGGAGAACTATCTAATCTTAAGCTAAGTCTAACACATAACAGATGAAGAAGAGAATATCAAAGAGGATAATAACTCTGAATGGACGTTAGAAAACAATATTTTGAATGCCACACAATTCCAAGAGACCTTTGGATAATTCATAAAGCCTTTGAACATTTGGGGGTAAAAAACCATCTTTTTGATTAGTCCATGAAAGTTGAAAGAAGGTTGTCTTCTGCTATCATATGGTTTTGTCAGACAATTATGCAAGATATTCTCAAACCAACCCTGGATTCCGTTGTCATTCCTTCCAAAAATGAGTTAATACTCTCATTCCAACAGGCTTCTCTTAGAACCAAATGTCCTTGGATAACACGAACCTCCTGGACCACCACACCCATGGCCTTTCCTCCTCCTTTGAATACCTATAGCTATTTATCGTCCAGCTATGTTACAGCTATTGATGAACAAGTATTATCTCCCAACCATCCCGACACCAGACCTGGCCCTGTGCATTGGAAGCTAAGAGTAGCTTTGGGGTCAGGCTGCCTGCAGTGAAATCTCAGCTGCACCCGCCGTGTGACCTCGAATGGGTTCCTTGCCCTTTGCGCATCTCAACTGCTCATCTGTAAATTGGGACAATATCAGTGAGCACCCTCTGCAACTGTTTTGAAGACTAAATTATTTAATAGAAATAAATGTGCTTGGAAGCATGCCAGGCATATGTTCATTACGCAAAGATGCTAGTCTTGCTTAATGTGATTATGTCCGTCCCTGAAAGGGCTAGTGGGGGACACTTGTCACCTGTTCCTGAAGGTTTCCCATGTGGAGGCGAGACTCCTGTCACCGTCCCTTTCTTCCTCTAACTTGCTTAATCTCAGGCTTTATCGGATTAGAGGTTTCGGGAAGAATAAATTGGACATACTGGGCTTGATCAGCTTCTTCCTTTTCCTTTTTATCCTCACCCAAGGACATTTTTGCATTTATCTTCAGATAGAGCGGGAGGGAGAGAGGGAGGAAGAGAGAGAGAGAAACATCGATGTGAGAGAGACACATCGAATGGCTGACCCTCACACAACCCCAACCGGGGCCGGGGACAAACTGCAACTGAGGTACGTGTCCTTAGCGGGGACCGAACCCTGGCCTCTCTGGTCTGCGAGCCAACGCTCTAACCACTGAGCAAAACCGGCCAGGGCAGCTTTTTCCTTCTTCCTCTGGGGATCCAATCTGCTCCCCAACACTGGCACCAGCCCTGCCCTGTGGGGAGGAGGCCTCGGGGAGTCCAGCCCCTCCTGACTGGGTCAATCTGTCTAATTTGAGGACTCAGTTAACAAGCCCATTTGCTCAGACTCCAAGCTACATCTTCCGACCGACCAGTACTAACCATGGTGTGTTGGCCTCCGTCTGCCTTATTTTTTGTCTTATTTTTCAGTGAGTTCAGAACTTGAGTACAGAAAAAAAATATAGAAGCCATTTATTGGAGCTCAATGTCTCCTCTTGGGTTCCCGACTGGTAATGCAGTCAGCGTGTGCTGGACAAATGTATAAAGGCATACATCCTAGATTCTATTTTTGCTTCTTGAGACATTACTTTTCAGATAAGAAAGACTACAGTATAGCAAGCAAACCCTTATTGTGTGCAGGTCCAATGAGTCCCAGTGCAGGATTAGCAGACGTCTATCACACACATTCCAGGAGCTGGTACTAAAAATACAGGAGCTGCTCCCAAATCCCTTCCCCAAGGGCCATTTCAACTCAAAGGCCTGCAGAGGCCAACTCCTCATCCATTGTCCCCAGCTCTGAGCATATAAGATGCCTCATCTCTGACCCCTTCCGGCCAGAAATTTGCTCTGTGAATTGGGACCAGTGCAATGGTGAGCCTCTGCTTGGGTTTGACAGCTACGTTTGGAAGGCTTCCTTCTCTCTGCGAGAGTTTGTCCCCTCAACCAGCTCCGTTTCTCTGCCAGGCATTGCTGCTGTTCTGTGTGCACGAGCCCCTGCAGCCTGGTGCTCCTGACAGCTGTCCCCGTTGCCGGCTCTGGACACCCCCAGCCTGGTGCGGTGGGGCATCTGCCCTTCCGGTCGTTGCCGGCCTGCCCCACTTCGCCCAGGTCCTCTCTCTGATTCCTTCTGATTGGCTGGCCCAACCAGACTTACGTCGGGCGCCTGCCCTTTACAAACTGGCACAGCTGAAGTTTGTGCTTTCTGCCTGGCCCACCACTGACCCCGGTGCCAGACTCCGGACACCTGAGCTTGCCTGGCCTGTCTGTCTCCTCTGGCCCTGCGCTGCCCGAGATGCCTGGCCCCAGCCTACTGACCTCTTTTCCTGACTGGCTTCTCTTCCTGCCCAGTGACACGCTCCTGCCCGCCACTGCTATACAGTGAGCTTCTCCCTGGGTTGTACGGTCCCCATAAGTCCAGTGGCGCCTCATGCAAGGTCACCATGTCCTTCTGATAGTAGCAAGGATAAGTGAGGATGTGGAGAAGTTAGAACCCTCCTTCACTGCTGGTAGGAATGCAAAATAGTTCGGCCAGGTTGGAAAACAGCCTGGAAATTTCTCCAATAATTGCACATAGGTTACCATTTGATTGAGCAATTCTGCTCCTAAGAATATACTCAAGAGAGATTACATGAGATTTCGTGTACATGAAAACTTGTACACGAATGTTTATAGCAACAGTATTCATAATAGCCAGAAGGTAGAAACCAGTCAAATGCCCATCAGCTGATGGATGGAGAAACAAATTGTGGTATATCCATACAACGGAATGTTATTCAGTCATAAAATATGAAATTATCGATTCTGTATTTTAGAATATAAATGGGATATTATTCAGCTGTACCTACTACAGCCTACCTGAAGTAGGTATCAGAATGAAGTACTGGCGCCTACTACAGCTCGGATAAACCTTGACAACATTATGCTAAATGAAAGAAGCCAGACAGAAGAACACATATTATATGATTCCATGAGTATGAAAGTTCAGAACAGAAGACTATAGAGGCAGAGACTGCATCACTGGTTGCCTGGGGCTAGGGAGGGAGTGAGGGGTTAGGGATTGAAGCTAAATTGCTGAAAATGTCCTAAGATTGACCATGTTGATGGTCGCACAACTCTGTGAATATACTAAGAATCACTCAATTGTACACTTCGTTTTGTTTTCTTCTTCTTTTGTTTTGAACGGTATACTTTAAATAGGTGAATTGTATGTTATGTGAATTTCATTTCATTAAAGCTGTTTTTAAAACCAAAGAGCAGGCCGGGATGCCAACACCTACCTGAACCGGGACTGGGGTCCCCGTGGGCCCCGTCTGGGCTACATCTCCCATGCTGTGCCTGGGAGACTGGGGGCCCAGCCCTCCCCGCTCCAGGCTCCTCTCCACTCTTACAACTGCTGCCAACGACCCCCCAGCGATGTCCCACAGCTCACCCACTCCGTCCCAGCTGCCCGCTGAGGGTGCCCCGGCCCCACCCCTGGTCCCAGCCCTTACCTGATGCTGATTCCCCCTAAGGGGTCTCCGCTCTCTCAGGGTCCCCTCAGACCCTCTTCCTCCCAGTCCTTCAGCAGGGCCACTGACCAAGGACGTGTATCTCAGTGAGGGCTACTGTGACATAAGTCACAACAGTTGGCTTGAGCTGGCTAAAGAAAAACAATGGAGGTGGGAAGGGAAATTCATGCC